TACTCTCCTCACAACAAGAATACGACTTTCACTAGGACTGTAAGTGAGGGTTTGATTATATCTATATTGATGTAATTTGTAAATATAGTATTTAAAAAGTGGAGTTCTTAATAAAATAGTTATTTTTTCAATAAAGGGTACCACTTTTAATATGTAAAAACATTACATTTTATATCAGCACAATTCAAACACTTTTCCTGCATGGTACTTTCCAGAAAAATCCTTTTTTAGAAAATGTTCACTTTTTTCTAATTCTTTTTAATGAGATATGAATATTGTGATTAGTAATTACTAGCCCATAATGTGGCAGTTCTACTAGTGTATGTAAAGTGTAATATAATTATCATCCATAAAAAAAATGTAATAGATAATCTCTCTATTTTAGACAGTGAAACGATTTCAGCCAAAATTTCTTGCTCTACATTGTCAAGAAGTGGGTGGTAAAAATTATGAAGAATCAATGAGACATGTAGAAGATTTCGTCAGGTAAGTTGTGTGTCTGCATGATACATACTGATACATTAAGTTACATGCCTTATGACTTGTTCATATGGCATGAACATGTTTGTAATGCTAATCAGGGAGTGCTCTGGCTGATAAAAAGGTGAAGCACAAAAATTCACAACCTCAGAATTCTGTTACCAGTTTTCAAAATCATGCCAATTTAATTATTTGTAATTACTTGTTGAAACAACTTTTGTACTGCACTATTAAGCATACAAAATTAATTACCTGTGATTTTTACCTGTACAACATTTTGTAACTATGGTGTGAATGAAACGTAATTTTTTAAATTTTTTTCTGGTAATGAAATATTGATTTTAAAAAAAATTGCCAAATGCCAGATTTTGTCACCAAAAAAAGTAAAAATCACAATGTGATTTTTGGCAAAGATTGATGTAAGCCCTGAATATTTGACGCTTAAGTAGAATTAGTGAAAGATAAATGTGTTATCAAAGTTAAATTTTAGCATTTTTAGCTGTGCAAAGCATATTACCTAAAAACAAATATTCATGAGAATTATTGCACTGTGTATAAATTTCTTATTCTTAATGTTTCCTTGTGTTACATATGCACTTGAAAATATTGTGAAAGTAATGCTCATTTTTGTGTAGATTTTTTAAAATGTGTATTAACACAAGGTTAAAACTAAAGCATATAAGATTCTTGAATGTGCTTTGGTATTAAAACATTTTTTAAATAACTATCATTTGACTATTTCCTAAGACAATATAAGTGGCTCAAGAAGTATATTAACATTATGTTATAAGGTTGTTTTAGTTAACCTGAATTAAGTTGCATGACTCCCACCCCCTCGGTAACAAGTAAAGAGTTGTGGAGGATAGGGGTCTGTGCCATGATAATTATGTGAACACTCTTAATAGTTTTTTTTTTTATCATTGACATGAATACCATATAGTTGAAAAGTATTTTAAAATTAATAATAAGGCTGTGAAAACTTCTGGTATGAATCATAACAAAAGGTTTAGGTAGATATGTATATGTGTAACTTTTATTTGATTATTTATATATATATATTTTTCTGTTTATTTTCCTTGATTGTTTCAATAAAAAAAAATTAAGTTTTACCAAGGCATGTATAACACTTGCCAAATCAAACTGAAAATAACCTGATTTCTTACATAGAGGTTGTGGGCAGTGCTGAACTACGTTATAACATAGTCTTAGGTTGAACCCCATAGCAGATATAGTTGATTTATATATATGAATACTGTAACATCCGATTCCAGTCAAGTTGCCATTTTAGTTAAATGTATTTCAAAATATATAATCTTATTTACACATATATTGTTGACATTGTTTAAGGTATAATAATTATGTAACACGAGATCTTTAAGAGTATTTTGCTTGATTTGAATATATAAATAAAAGCTTTGCAAAAATACTTTATAAGTAATAAGAATTGTTAAAATGTCATTATTTTAAGAAAGTAGAAATAGAATGACTCGTTTAAAAGCTTGTATTATTTTTAAACATAAACGCAGGTTAAAAGTAATATACTGTCTTTCTAAAAACGAAAAAATTGAAACATTCTTACACTGGAATTTTTTGTGGTTTATTTTAGAAAACTTAGTAACTATTATTGTCATTTTTTTACTGTTAATATTCCATGAGATGTAGAAAATCAGAAATAAAAAGAATAGTTTTTTGTTATAGCATAAAATGTATATAAAGAAGAACGTGTTTAACCCTCTGTGAATGGTGTTAGTCCATTGGGCCAATCCTATTTCTCTGAAGTTATTCATAATGGTGTTTACTATAATTTTGAATTTACATTGTGTATCTTCACAAACATTGGTAAGTTTTTAGTAAACATTACAAGCCTGTTATATGCATAAAATCAGATTTTTAATAAAATATTTTTACTAAAGACTTGGTTGTGAATTTACGAAGCATTTACTGAGTCAGTCTGAGAGCAAGGTGATTTTCATGCTAAGAATAAAAATACTTATTTTAATCTTACAGTTTTCATATTCAATTTGCATACCCTCTAGAACCTCCTAAATTAATAAACATTTTTTTTTTTTCCCTTGGTGAAACTGTATTTGCTGTTATTTTCTCTACCTTAACACTAACTGTAGCAAAATCATTAATGACGGGTAAAATTAAAAGTTGAAAAATATTAATTAAAATCAAAAATACGTTTTTTTATTTTTAGAGTGTCTGTAACATACAGTTACACTTATTTCTTCTCGCATCCTAAGTTACTGGCCCTTTACAACTCTACTTTCACTTCATTTTATTGCTTTATGGCTAGAATTTTATCACTAGTTGAGTAATTGGCAGCCTTCTTCACATGACCCAGCACACACACAAACACCGCTGTAAAAGCAAAACAAAAATTGGTGGAGCTGGAGTTGCCTTAACTTTTTTAACCACTGCATAATTCTAATATGGTATTATTTTTTCTATTTTCACTTGCATTGTTTTGCTTTTTTTAAGTAAATTTTGAATTACCCTTGTTTCATATTATAGGCCTCTTCTAAAGGTTGTCATTTTGTAGGTTGGGAAAAATAATTTGTCTTAAAAATGATTTGCCACAATTTTTTGTAAAGATTATCTGGACATTTCCTACATGGTGAATGAATTGCTAATGTTGACTAAATACCATCACGTGGTTGTCATTATATTTGTTTTTAAAATATACCATAATTCTATGCTGATCTTTTGTAGGCCAAATAAATTGATAATTAAATAATGAAAAAGGTAATAATGTTTTTATTTATAACATATGATTGGAATTAGAAATATACAAGTAGCTAGTCATCTAATTTGTTTATATATATGTTTTTGAATAGGATAAACATAAAAATAATATTCAGTAAAGTTTTAAGTCACCAGAATATTTTTAGTCTCCTACCATATTCACTAAAGAGTAAATTTAAATTGTCATCAAATGAAATAAATTATTTTATTTGGTGAACATAATAATAAAACATCATGTTCACAAGCATTGCAATTCAATAAAATCATTGTATATGTATTAACAAAATAAAAACTCTGTAATGTGACTTTGTTTCATACTGTATATATGTTCTTGTTTAGGTAACTATTTGAACCTGATGAATAAAGAAAAAACCTTTTCCAAACATTGTATGTTTGTTAGTCTTAAACTTCTAATAGTTTTCTTTGCTACTTATTCAACCCATCTCAAACCTGTATAAGCTTACCTTATCTAAAAATGTCTTTCATTTAAAAAATTTCTATAGCTTTCAGACAGATATCGTTGAATGCAAAAATACTCTTACAATGAATGGATCTGAAATGAACATTTTTTTTAAACTATGAAAAAAAAAATGTTTATACCTGTATATTTATTGTACTATTGGCTGATAGTCTAATTCTTTCTCCTTCCAATCATATTTACACTTTATAGCTGCTTTCAGAGATTTGTTTCATCAGTAAATGATCAAACAATAGGCTTAATATACATTATGCTGAGACCACATATATTAGTCTATGGATCAAACCACTTGACATGGCAATAACAAGGTTTCACCTAAGGCCTGTACACAAAATTTAGGAAACATTCTAAAATTGAGGAATAGATAATATATTCTCAAGGGGTGATAGGTTCTTAGCAAAAATAATGTTGTTTTTTGGGATAGGCAGAAAAATTCTAGAAAAAGTTGACAAGTTTCTTGTTTGGTATATTAGCAAACCTTTTTGCATTTGTGCAGAAATGAAATTGTGAAATTTTTCTTCATGAATTACATTAAATAAATGTCGGCAAATAACAAAATCACACTTTTAAAATGTTTTTGAGTCAAAATCGTTGAAATATAGTTAGAATTAATGTATAAAATTTATGTTAAAATCTACGAAATAAAATTTTATGAAGTGGCAAAAAAAATATTAAAATCCAGAGGAAAGAAACCATGTCTTTATACATGTGTAATACAGGCAACAGAACTTCATTGGTTAACATTTAGAAACAATAAGAGATTTATTTGCTTACAAGTCACCTGTTGCAACAATACCGTGTATGCTTTTCCAGACCATTCAGTATGTTTTACATGTTTATAAGCATGTTGGAGCTTCAAGTGTTGTATCTATAAATATGCAGTAACTCAACACTTTGTAACCAACCAAAGGAAATGAATAAACATAAGTGATTTTATTTATTAGGCAATGGTACTTTGCAAAAGTAAAAACCTAATATTTTTTAATGTTCTTTAAGTAGACGAGATGAAAAGTCAAACAACCTAAAAATCAGAATTACATAAATCTCTTTTGTAAAATAAGACATGCAGCAGTTATATCGTTTTTGTACAATGATTGAAAACCATTAGAGAATCAATAAAAATAAATCTAGAAAGTCTATTCAGATAATATTGCATTATTATGTCAACAAGTAACACTAGCTACAGTAATGTTTAATTTTTAGATACTACTTTTTAAAAATTAGCTGTGTGATACTGTAACTGAATCTTCATTATTTTTTGTGTGAAAGAAGAGACTCCCACGATAATAGTATGGTATCTTGGATTAATCATTATTGACCATTTGATCCTTAAGTAACTTAAATAACGTTACTATATTCCATAAATAATTAGCTCAGTCAGGTTATAATCCTGTAATTTCAAAGATTATATATTTTATTTTTAATAATGTGAAAATATAATTAGAAATAAACGTTTCCAACCTTTTAATGGAACCTTTTAAGTGGGTACAATTATTTATAATGATATCAAGAAAGAAAATTATAGCATTGGTAAATGAGATTCCTGTTTTCAAAACTTTTTAAAAATGGTGGTACTTATATAGTTATACCATTTGCATTTTTACCTATTTTAGACATCAGCAATATGAAAAACTTCTTTCTCATGAGAATTTTAACTTCTAAACAAAGAAAAAAATGAAAGAGCTGCAGGTGTCATAAACAATGCTGACAGGACCGGTGGTTAGGGCACTCAACTCGCAATCTGAGGGTTGCGGGTTCAAATCCCTGTCACACCAAACAT